GCCCTTACTATCTTGGCCCTTGGGAGCCCTTTACTATCTTAGCCCTCAGGAGCCCTTAATATCTTAGCAATTGGGAGCCCTTACTATCTTGGCCCTTGGCAGCCCTTTACTACTATCTTAGCCCTTGGGAGCCCTTACTATCTTAGCCCTTGGAAGCCCTTACTATCTTGGCCCTTGGAAGCCCTTACTATCTTGGCCCTTGGGAGCCCTTTACTATCTTAGCCCTTGGGAGCACTTACTATCTTGGTCCTTGGGAGCCCTTTACTATCTTAGCCCTTGGGAGCCAGTACTATCTCAGCCCTTGGAAGCCCTTACTATCTCGGCCCTTGGGAGCCTTTACTATCTCAACCCTTGGGATCCTTTACTATCTCAGCCCTTGGGAGCCTTTACTATCTTAGCCCTTGGGAGCCTTTACTATCTCAGCCCTTGGGAGCAATTATTATCTAAGCCCTTGGGAACTGTTTACTATCTCAGTCCTTGGGATCCTTTACTATCTCAGCCCTTGGGAGCCTTTACTATCTCAGTATTTGGGAGCCTTTACTATCTCAGCCCTTGGGAGCCTTTACTATCTCAGCCCTTGGGAGCAATTATTATCTAAGCCCTTGGGAACTGTTTACTATCTCATTCCTTGGGATCCTTTACTATTTAAGCCCGTGGGAGCCTTTACTATCTCAGCCCTTGGGAGCCTTTACTATCTCAGCCCTTGGGAGCCTTTACTATCTGAGCCCTTGGGAGCCTTTACTATCTCAGCCCTTAGCCAGAGTGATGTTGTGGGAAGTGTTGTGTAGTGAGGAATCGAGCACAGAACACCTGGCAACTTGTCACAAAGTGTCAGTCATATACTCAAACATCAAGCATGCCTTTGGATCCCTTTACTACCTCAGCCTTGGGATCCCTTTACAACCTCAGCCCTTGGGAGCCTTTACTATCTTAGCCCTTGGGAGCAATTATTATCTATGCACTTGGGAACTGTTTACTATCTCATTCCTTGGGATCCTTTACTATCTCAGCCCTTGGGAGCCCTTACTTTCTCAGCCCTTGGGAGCCTTTACTATCTTAGCCCTTGGGAGCCTTTACTATCTCAGCCCTTGGGAGCCTTTACTATCTCAGCCCTTGGGATCCTTTACTACGTCAGCCCTTTTGGAGCCTTTACTATCTGAGCCCTTGGGAGCCTTTACTATCTCAGCCCTTGGGAGCAATTATTATCTAAGCCCTTGGGAACTGTTTACTATCTCAGTCCTTGGGAGCCCTTACTTTCTCAGCCCTTGGGAGCCTTTACTATCTCAGTATTTGGGAGCCCTTACTTTCTCAGCCCTTGGGAGCCTTTACTATCTGAGCCCTTAGCCCAAGTGATGGGAAGTGTTGTGTAGTGAGGAATCGAGCACAGAACACCTGGCAACTTGTCACTACGTGTCAGTCATATACTCAAACATGAAGCATGCTACGCTCCGTGAAGTCATTGGGACCATGGCCTACGTGCTGTTCTGACAGACATCGGCGGCCATGTCACAGTGACATGTTGAATAAAGGAAGCAATCCCCTTAGAATTAGCAGGCAAGGATATTGGCACTAAATCCCACTTCCTGTAAGAAGCAATATGTCTGAAGGGAAGAAATCCCAGCTGCCGCCAGTCACGACCATGACCTTCGGGGGACATACTGTTATAATGTCTGGCCTACCCTGTGGTTGTTTCAATCTGTTGTTAGATGGAAATGAAACAAACACACTCATTAACTCTCACATACAGCTTGGTACTTACTTCGTAATTCTTAAATATCATTCCATTTTAATAAGTTTGCAATTTTTTCCCATATCAGAGTTTAGCAGGAATAATCTATGCCAATATCATGTTATTTTAGTTGCAGCTTTACTATATATATTTGAAATAAATTAATAACCATAAGCATAGCACTTTGGTACAGTTAATCGCTATTGCAGGATATTTTTTCGAATGGAACAATTTGACCAATCATCGTCGATGCTCCCGTGCTAGTGATTGCTAAAACTATATGTTGACATATAATAGTCAAACTACAACAAATATGACTTTCAACGAGTCAATGTACGGCATGTATGATACATACATGCATTCTCTGTCCACTAAAGTTTGGTTCAAAGCGTCAATAGCAGTAATTTGACCGTGGTTTCTGTAAATAAAAGTGAATAATGCAATCTACCAGTTACTTCACACACAATTTCACTGAAATGTATGTAAACAATTATTTAAGATAATTATGAAAAGAGATTACAAACATAAGTCCAGCTATACAATTAATACTTTTTATAACCAGACAGTGTAATTACATGATTAATTTGGGTACTTCAGAACAGATTTGTTGTCAAGGTTTTTCCGGTGTTACGGTGATATGTCTTTGTGTTGGGGAAAAAACATCAAAACTTGTCAAACCTGTGTGTAAGACAACCCTCCTTGAAAGCCCCCTAATTCTAGGTATGAACAACTTGCCTTATACACAGCAATATATGGTAATTCCATTCATTTTAATATGTTGGCAATGTTCTTTTCTACACAATCAATTAAGCATGTTGGAAATAGTTGTGAGGAATAGTGTATCCAAGTCAACTGCCATAGGAACTAAGCATGTTGGAAATAGTTGTGAGGAATAGTGTATCCAAGTCAACTGCCATAGAACTCCCAGCGAGAGGAAATCCCAAAGTGTTTGTTTGTTGTTTCAGGCTCCACTCAGAAACTCCACCTATATGATAGTGGACTGTACATAGTCTGGACCAGACAATCCATTGATTGACATCATGAGCATCGATCGACTTGGAATATGATGACCAGATGCATCAACCAAATCAGCGATTCTGACCACTTCATCCATTAGCCGCTTCTTATGAAAAGAGATGAAGCCTAATTCTAATCGGATCTTCAGGGATGTAATCCTAAAGTGACACGGATCAAGAACAGTGTGAGTATGGTTCACTCACTGAGACAAATGGCCAAAAGATAATATGTCTGTGAGAAAACAACCAGATATATCAACTCACACCACAAGACTTACCATCACTTTTAAAGGGGCAGTTCATGCATGAAATAATATCCAAGTGTGACAGCGCATGCCTGATTCTCAAACCACAACAATAGAGCTCCACACAGCGTAGCCGACAACACAAGCGCTGCACAGAGTAAACTCAATTCAGTTTGATTTTTTTATTAGATGTAACTTGAAGTGAAAGCTTGTGTGTTACAAAATACCAATTGCTAGTTTGATTACATTAGAAGCCAGCTAGTGTTTATCAAAGCCTGGATTACGAGAGATATATGCCTCAGTCGTATGAAGCCAATCACTCTCCTACCCACAGTTCCTTGTGGTCAGCAGTGTTCCGGCCTCTGCCCCATCGTTACATCTTACCCAGTTCATCCATGTGTTTTTCATTTGTTTCATTTTGGGGGAGTCTCCAAGTTTACATACACATAACTTTCATTGAGAAAATATCCTAAAACGTGAAAAACTATTTCCGTATTTATCCTCCATGTGCTGTCGATCAAAGCCCTACGGAGAGCAAGAAATATGGTCACTTTGATGTGCAAAGCTATATTGTCATACACCTCATTGTCCAGTTCTAGTAGTATAATTATGCAAAACAATATGTAAATCATAAGGCTTGCATTAGGCCTGTCTGTTCTTATTTCAGAATGTGTGTTTTTGTTTACAAACAAGAGTGAGTGAGTGAGTATGGTTTTACGCCGCTTTTAACAATATTCCAGCAATATCACGGCGGGGGACACTAGAAATGGGCTTCACACATTGTACCCATGTCGGGAATCTAACCCGGGTCTTCAGCGTGACGAGCAAACGCTTTAACCACTAGGCTACCCGACCGCCCCTTACAAACAAGAGAAAAGTCTGGTCACGTGATAAGCCTCGACCCGCGGTGTGGTCACTGGAGCAGAACATTCTGTCACGGGGGTTGAGATGGGTTATTGGCTATTGTTTACATTCAAAGATTCAGAACGGTCATCATCCTGTTCCAGCATCACTATTAAAGCACTGCTATGAAGCATCACCTCCAATAGGTTGTATAGCATACCCGGTACACTTAATGTGGTATACAAATGAGTTGTGTCAGTGGCTAAGATGCTGAGTCAGCTAAGACAAGGCGATGTCCGTCAGTGCCAGAGGATGATTGAATGGAAACAGCTGACTCAGCACATCGACACAGGCACTAGCCTATCCACTGTTTGATCATCCTAGGGATAACACATACCAAATATAATTTTCTTTGAATCAAGTAATAGAATTACATGTCTTAGAATTCTTCATATTGAATTGAACCTGTGAAAATCTGTGGTAGAATAGGTCTTCAGCAACCCAAGCATGCCGTAAAAAGCGACTGTGCTTGTCGTAAGAGGCGATTAACAGGATTGGGTGGTAGGGCTCACTGTCTTGGTTGATGCACATCATCATTTTCCAATTGCATGGATTGATGCTCATGATGTCAATCACAAGATTGTCTGGTCCAGACTCAATTATTTACAGACCACCATCATATAGCTGGAATATTGTGTGTTGTGTGCAGCGTTAAACAAACAAACAAACATATTGAATTGTCCCTATTATGAATCAATAAGCCCAACATATACCATTCTCGAGAGTTATCTTGGATTCTTAGTTCCCTTAGCAAGCAGTTTTATATTTTCCACAACTTAAAAGCTTTTTGTATTTTCAAATTGTATTCTATGTCATCATGTAAAACTAAGCATCAAAGCCTCATGGGGACAAACAAGACTGTGTACATGCTTCCTCTCCTAGAGTAGGGGCAGTGGGGTAGCCTAGTGTTTAAAGTGTTAGCTCATCACGCTGAAGACACAGGTTCGAAGTCCTCACATGGGTACAATGTGTGAAGCCCATTTCTAGTGTCCCCCGCCGTGATACTGCTGGAATATTGCTAAAAGCTGCGTAAAACATACTCAGTCAGTCACTCTCTCACTCGTGTAGTTGTTTGCTGAGCAGAGTTCCTCTGTGAGTAATACTTACCTGCATTGACGAGTTGTGAGGCAAGTCCAGCTGCCCCCAGCAGTAGTAGCACCACCCCTGGTAGTGAGATACGGGGCGTACTGACCCCCCCTCCCCCTCGGCACTCACTCCACCAAGCCATTGGCTGTCTTCATCTAGGCCTGCAACAGACACGCAACTATAAGGACACACACAAACATTTAGTCGTGGGAAAGAAAACAGTGTTTTTGTTAATTTGTCTTTTGATATATACTCACTGCCAAAAGAAACGTGAACCATAGAAACATATCGGAAAGTATGTACGTTAAGAAGAGATGTTTCCAAAGTGTACCAATTAATGACAAAACTAACAATCAGTAAAGCGTTACCACAGAGTGTCTTTATTCTTATCATGATATGCTGCACATGATTTCAAAACATTACACACTAATGTTGCATCTCCAGTCATGGATCTATGATGTCACATGTGATGCATTCATGAGCGTCAGTTCACATACCAGTATGTTCGTTTGTGCATTGAACCAGTCTAATATCTCTTGAATATGGTGTATGGTGTTTTGGAGGTGTGTATATAGTAGAAAGGAGCCCAGGGAATCTGGTCATTTTCAGGCCGGAAACTGAAGAAATCTAGACTTGCCAATATATTGTTGACTTGCTTAGGAATTCAGATATTTTTGCTTCAAGGTTTTTTTTGTGGAACTAGGCTTCTGGGATAGTGAATGACACCAACATTCTCATGGTCGTATGTGGAGTGAGTGAGTGAGTGAGTGAGTGAGTGAGTGAGTGAGTGAGTGAGTGAGTGAGTGAGTGAGTGTATGATTCATTTGGGTTAAGTGCCGTTTTGGAAGGTATTTTAGTTACATAACAGTGTGTCAGTAACAATTAATCTAAAATCAAAATGTGATAATACTGATACAGTATGATTGCTTCAAGAAGTACCAGTTTCTCTACCAGCCTTCCTAATGTCATAAGGATCCACCAGCCTGTTGTCCCAGAGAGCGCCTCAGCCAGGCTGTCTCATCATTACATACCTCCCAAGCTTACTCCAGATAACAGACTCAGGAACATTTTTGAAATTCAAGGGTTTCTGAAGCTTGGTGTGGTCTCCCGTCATTTCCCCTGAGGGAACTATGAACGAGGCAATACTGAACGAGGGAATACTGAATGAGGAAATTCGGAATGCGGAATACTGAACGAGGGAATACTGAACGAGGGAATACTGAATGAGGGAATTCTGAATGAGGGAATAATGAATGAGGGAATACTGAATGAGGGAATTCGGAATGCGGAATACTGAACTAGGGAATACTGAACGAGGGAATACTGAATGAGGGAATAATGAATGAGGGAATAATGAACAAGGGAATATTGAACAAGGGAATAATGAATGAGGGAATACTGAATGAGGAAATACTGCAGCAGGGAATAATGAATGAAGAAACAATGAACAAGGGAATAATGAACGAGGAAATTATGAACAAGGGAATAATGAATGAGGGAATACTGAACAAGGAAATAATGAACAAGGGAATAATGAATAAGGGAATAATGAATAAGGGAATAATGAATGAGGGAATAATGAACAAGGGAATAATGAACAAGGGAATAATGAACAAGGGAATAATGAATGAGGGAATACTGAATGAGGGAATAATGAACAAGGGAATAATGAATAAGGGAATAATGAATAAGGGAATAATGAACAAGGGAATAATGAACAAGGGAATAATGAACAAGGGAATAATGAATGAGGGAATACTGAATGAGGGAATAATGAATAAGGGAATAATGAACAAGGGAATAATGAATGAGGGAATACTGAATGAGGGAATAATGAACAAGGGAATAATGAATAAGGGAATAATGAACAAGGGAATAATGAATGAGGGAATAATGAACAAGGAAATAATGAACAAGGGAATAATGAATAAGGGAATAATGAATAAGGGAATAATGAATGAGGGAATAATGAACAAGGGAATAATGAACAAGGGAATAATGAATAAGGGAATAATGAATAAGGGAATAATGAATGAGGGAATAATGAACAAGGGAATAATGAACAAGGGAATAATGAACGAGTGAATGATGAATGAAAACATAATGAACGAGGAAATCATGAACAAGGGAATACTGAAAAAGGAAATAATGAAGACGCGAATAATGAACAAGGAATAATGAATGGGGAATAATGAATAAGAGAATAATGAAGACGGGAATAATGAACGAAGAAATAATGAACGAGGAAATAATGAACAAGGAAAAATGAAGACGGGAATAATGAACAAGGAATAATGAACGGGGGAATACTGAACAAGGGAATAATGAACAAGGGAAAAATGAATGAGGGAATAATGAACAAGGGAATAATGAACGGGGGAATACTGAACGAGGGAAGAATGAACGAGGGAATACTGAACAAGGAATACTGAACGAGGGAAGAATGAACGAGGGAATACTGAACAAGGAATACTGAACGAGGGAAGAATGAACAAGGAATACTGAACAAGGAATACTGAACGAGGGAAGAATGAACGCCTTATTGAATTTCCTTCATATCTTCATGTGAGACATTTCATGGAATGCAGCTGATAATAATTTAATCTGTTACATTCACTGCTGCCAGTATCACTGGTGAGTGTGGAAACTTCAACCTTGACTCCCACAGAGCACCATTTGAAAGTCATCATCGGTATTCTACTTTGGTGTTACAAAAGAGACTGGCATTGTACATCATCATTCAAGGCTGAGAACAAATATCTAACCATGGTGCTACTGAACATATACACCTGATGAAGCTATTACAACCTCTGCATAACCTTATAAACATGTCTTGAGAGATGTCTGTTTTCAAAGAACTGACTTCTAAAAGAGCTATATTTATCGCATTCAATTCTTTTTGATAAAACCCCCTGACAATCTGAAGTGGAGTGAAATATGCTAACTCAGCACTTCAAACAGTTGTGTTTGTTTGTTATTTAATGCCACACTCAGCAATATTTCTGATATATGACAGCGTTCTGTAATTAATCCAGTCTGGACAATCCAGTGATTGATATCATGAGCATCAATCCACACAATTGGCATATGATGACATGCATCAACCAAGTCAGTAAGCCTGACCACCCGCTCCTGTTAGTCGGCTCTATCCATCTTACAAGCAATGAGTCTATCATGGAATAAAACCCCTATCAAAGCTTGAGTGGCACGTATTGTTTTCAGGCGAGAGCAGAAGTTCAAAGAAAAACATGAATAGGACAAACATAGCACAACGGCAAATTTCTAAACAGGAACTGAAAAAAAATCTGGAATTCTTCCTTGTAACAAAAACAGAGAGCTATTAAGTGCACTCTGTGAAGTAGGCAATGTATAAACACTACAATCCAAATATCACTTACTCCTAATCCTGCCAAATCAAGTGATAAATACAATATGATATGTTCCTGACAACTGTGTAAACCCTCTTTATAATAGCGTGATATTGAGAGGGTATTAGATGAACCTCAAGTGGCAGCCATTCACAAAATGTGATGAGATTGTATCTAGTGCTCAGACCGCTAGTATCTCAGTTTTCCGCTGGATCAAGAGCGGGGGTCAAACAGTGCTGTCTTACTGTTGTTACACTTCTCACAGTATAATATACGTTGTCATTTCACCTGATCTATATTACAAGCATTTCAACATGAGGGATAAAAGGTTAGCTGTGAGGAAACGGAATGATTGGTGCTAACAAGGGCCTATATGTACACATTAACATGAACTGGGGAATATAGCGCTGCCAGGAAAACTGGATGATATCATTAAATATAAAACTTTTTCCCTGTCTGATGAAAGGGATTCTGTTTGAGAAGTACTTGAAGGACTAAGTACCTGAAACTGCTTGTTTGAGTAATAATTCCAATATCGTTTAAATAGTTGGGAGAGCATGAGAGCAGGTATATGAAATGTAGGAAAGGACATGCACCAACAAGAATGAATGGCCTCAGTGAAAGGAAATAAATTTATATTCCCTTTTTGAAATGCTTTTAGAACGAGAATGAACTTGAGCATGAATCAATTCTTTAGCTATCAGATCATGCTACTAATCCATATAATCGCTACGGAGTATAGGATCAAATGTTAAAAAGAAAACGTATTGCATAGCTTCTGTTTGGGAAAAGTAGTTTTAATTGTTGAACCTTTAGGAAAAGATTGTTTAAAAATATAAAGTCAGCTGAATTTAGATATACTCACAGTGAAACACTCAGAAGTGGATTCACCCAGTGCGGCAATCGTAATGAAGTGAGTACAAGTTCACCATGATATATATATGCACCCAAATGACACAGACATGTTTCTGATATACTGAATAATGACCCTTGAAGCTCTTGATAATGTTAATTTTTCTGTTGACAAACTGAATGATTATCTAACAGAAATATCTTTAGCAAGACGTCCTATTCTCATCTGATATTGTCTAATCCCTGATAAGGAGACAGATAAGCATGAACCATGGAAAGACCTTCGGTGCAGCGTCAGTGACCTTTGGTGCAGTGTCACTGATTCTTGTGTGGACCCAGCGGTGAAGTATGTTCGAAGCCATAGCTCACACACATCCTGACAGCCCTGGACTGAGAGCCCTAGCTACTGACATCAACAAATATTCATCTCCGTAAAACAAAGACCTTAATTGGTGTGTGCATGAACAGACTGTCTATAAATATTTGCCTGGTATTTACAAGGAGTAAGTACCCAATTGTCGGTTTAGATTCGATTCATTGAACTGGACGGATCATATTGGTGAACATTCAGGTAGAAGACGTGATGACGTATTTTGCCAGGTCCACGATATTTAGCACGTAGGAGAAAAGGTATCAGTGCCAGGAGTCATTGGTGCTCAGGTTCCATGCAAGCACCAAGATTGTCAGGTATTGGACTTCGGCGGTATGATACATGGGAGCTGTTCTCACAAAGAGGCAACGGCTCACTGAATGACTTCAGAACAAATTGGAGCTCATCTGCGGAGAAAGCCGTACTCTTTCTTGTGGGAGATCAAGCTGACAGATACTATCGGTGAAAAACAGAAGATAACATCAACTCCTGGCAAAGACCTTCCACTGATCTCCCGAGGAGAAGCCAGATCATCCTCTTCAGGCGCCGACACTTCAACAGGTAGAATATG